AGAAAACATTTGCAGTTCATATATTTGAAAAGGGTCTAGGGTCCAGAATATAGAAAGAGTTCTTATAACTCCATAATAAAAGACAATAACCTGATTAAAAAGTGAACAATGGATTTGAATATACATTACTCCAAAGAAGATATAAAAATAACCAGTAAACATATGAAAAAATATTCAACATTATTAGTCACTTGTGAAGTGCAAATCAAAACCACAGTCAGATACCACTTCACACTCCCTAGGATGACTATAATACAAAAAAATTAATGAAAATAGATGTTGGTGAGTATGTGGGGAAATTGGGACACTGATATTTTGCTAATGAGACTGTAAAATCATATACCTACAATCAAAAACTAATTGGCATTTCCTCATAAACTTTAATATAGAGTTACCTTAAGACCCAGCAATCACCCTTAGTATGTACCAAAGAAAATTGAAAACATATACTCACAGAAAAATGATACATGAATGTTAATAGCATTATTCACAATGGTCAAGAAGTGGAAAATACCCAAATGTCTATCAACTGATAAACAGATAAACAATTATGGTATATCCAGATAATGAAATATTATTCAGCCACAAAGAGGAATGATGTACTGATTTCATTATACAACACGGATGAACCTTGGAAACATTACATGAAAGGAAAGAAGCCAGAAAACAAAGGCTATGTGTTGTATGATTTCATTTATCTGAAATGTTCCAAATAGGCAAATCCATAGAGACAGAAAGTAGACTAGTGATCACCAGGGGCTCAGGAGAGGAGGGAATTGGGAATGACTGCTAATGGATATAAGATTTCTTTTTGGGGTGATGGAATTGTTCTGGACTAGATGTTGGTTGTACAATACTGTGAATATACAAAAAGCACTGAACTGTATTATTTTTAAATGATGAATTTTATGTTGTATAAATTTTAAAATCAATATACTTTTTAAACATAAATAACAAGCCCTAAAAAAAACCACTATGTGTTGCTTCCAAGGATTAATAACACGTGCACTGGAGACAAACCTTGGGTATTTTCTCAGATTCCTGTGACAGGCACCATCTTTCTCTTGCTTGGTCAGAGGTTCATCCACATTGGGTTGACTCTCCACTCCAGCTGCTGTGATGTAGGGGAGTGAGATTCTTTGTGGAGTGAACCTTGATCAATGACAGGAAGACACCAGGCAGCTAAATTCTCCGTCCTTGCTTTCCTGGACTTACACTAGTGTGCAGGTCTTCCTTGCGATCCTCTGTCTCTTTGTGGTTTGCTGTGAAGTGGTGAGCAGCAGAGTGACCTAGGATCACATTGCTTTATATTTCTGCTTTCACTCTACCTCTCTTTCGCTTTTTCCTTTACCCTCATTGTCTTGGGCTTGCTCCTCCCAGATGAAGTCTTAGCATCTTTAGTCCTTGCCCCAGATTCTGCTATGAAGAGCTCCTGGACTAAGGACACTGAGAGGAGGGCAGGTGAAAGGAGAGAACAAGAGAACATCCTATCAAATATTGATTCTATTATTTTAGAAGAGACATGGGTATGTTTGAGGCCATATTCATTGGTTTTAGGTGAGAAGCTGACTTTTTATTTGTGCATTAAAAGTGAAATTATCTATCAAACTCATTCTTTGAAAAGCATTGTTTTTTAAAAACTGTTTTCCTCTTTACAAAAGTAAAATGTGCTTATCAAAAATTTTTGATCATTTAAATTAAGCAAAAAAACATAAAAATCAATGGAAATCCTACATCATTTTGATGACTATCCTTACAGTCCTTTTTCTAGTCATACATAAGGCTAGAAATACATACTTAATTTTTCTAAAGAAGGAACACTTTCATGTGTACGATGTGTTGGGATGATACATTTTCAGCTATTTTAAGAATTTAGAAACTGTCCTTTAAATATATGATATTCAAGGTTAAAAACTAATTGAACCCCCAGAATTTGAAAACTTGTGCTAAACAAATCAGGCCTACAGAATTGAGCTTGTGCTTTGCTGTAGTAACAGTAGAGCCAATCTCTTTTAATGTATGAAATGGTTGCTGTAACTTAATCCAGACTATTTCACCCTGCTGCTTGCATAGAGTATGTGAGTGTGAGCACCAGGGAACGTGCCTTCAAAGGGAAACAGATGATGCGCTCAAGACCTGTGCTCTCTCATCATCTTATATACAAGTAAATCTAACTAAAGTGGATATGTAAGTGGGTAGTCTTGGGGAGGTACAGGACAATATAGAAAGGCAGAACCCACCTGTTCGCTTCATTGATGAGGGATGGCAGGAAGTCACCTGGGGCTGTGTGAGCCTCAGCAATACTGGAATGTTGTGGCAAGAGATACCATTCCCTTCTTCAACTGCTTTGTCCCTGCTTGGCTGGCCTTGGGGCAGATGTTGGGGTAGAGGAGACGTATGGGTTGTGATTTGTCATTCTTAGTAGTTTTGGGACTTGTTATATTTTTCTGATTTAGGGAAAGACAGCTGGGTATTGAACCCAAGTAAATTGTACCATATTTACTTTCACTTAGAACTCTACATTGACATAATATTGACTTTCACTTAGGAAACTACATTGACTTCAAAACTACATTCAGAACAAAACAATAGCAATAAAAAAATTGGGAAATATTACACAGCACTCACTGCGTGACACTGTTCTCAGTGTTCTAATATGTTAACTCACTTAATTCTCATGATAAACTTTTGAGGTAGGTAGTGTTATGATCCCCATTTTTCAGATGAGGAAACTGAAGCACAGAATGTTCAAGTAACTGGCTCAAGATTGCACAGCAAGAAAACAGTGCAGCTAGGTTTCCAATCCAGGCACCGAGCTCTTTATTTTTGTAGGCTACTCATATATCGCCAACACAGGCTGCGAAATGAAGGGTAGCCATGCCACAGAGGTTTCACAAAGTTAATTTCAGATGATGTTAAATAATGTGTAATACTCAGTGCAAGGGCTATGCAGAGGGAGACCTTTAAACCAGTATCCACTAGGAATACTGTGGTTCAGAAATGCTTTTAAAAAAATGTGCCACTTGAATTGTGTGTGAAGAAGCACTGGTGTAGGTATCAAGTTGCATTAAAAAAAACTCAGTTTGGCAACTTGTTGATATTTAATGTTAAATTAAGTCAAAGTGAAACCAGATAGCTCTCCTCACTGAGCCGTGCTGCAGCTTTAGAGGAGGTGGGGGTGTCCATGTGGTGCAGGGAGTCCCCTCAGGGCACTGTGCCGACCCGTTCCTCAGGTGTAGCCACCTCTGACCGGAATGGTGTGCCCTGAACCACTGCTGCATTCACTTTCTGTGAGATACCGTTTGTCTCTGTCACTCCAGGGAAAGATATTGTTGATACTTGTGTGTTTTCTCATCCTATTTTTCAAACAAGTGCCTAGTCCCGTGCCTGGCAGTCACACTTATCAAGTAAATAAGCAGCCCATTCTCTTCTTGAATGCAAATTTGCTCGGGGAACCAAACTGTAAACAGAAGATGGGATAGTAAGCATCAAATTGTAAGGCTGGCATCATCCAGCTGATAAGAATTTTACTCTTATTTGCTAAAGTTTGCCTATTTTTTAAAACTAATGAACACACTGGAGTTAATTTTTAGTGTTCCTGCATTGTTTGGCTTTAGTTAATCTTTTTCACAATTTTTAATGACATTATAATACTATTCGTTTAATATTTTCCTCTTCTGTAATTTTGAAAAATTACTTGTATCATATAAATAGTTGGGTCCATTTCCAAGCTCCTTTGAGTCTCTGTTTTCTCTATTCATTTTTTACTTCCTATTATTCTGCTTTGATTAATATTATTCTGTAGTATATTCTAATATCTGATTAGTCCATATCAATTTTCTCCTTTTGTAATATATTTACTCTTGGTCTATTTGTTTTGATAAAATGGTTTAGAGTTATTTTGCTATGCTATTTAAAAATTCTCATTGAGTATTTGCATTAGAATTTGTAAACAAAATTATGTCTTTTTCAGCCACTTTAAGATAAAGTGAATATCTAACTTGACCCCTTGTGTGGGCAATAGAATGATGGTATTTGTAAAAAAGAACATGAGGAACAGACTCTATAGGAAAGCAGTAAGATGTCAAAGCAAATAGCACATACAAATTAAGATCCATATCCACATTCTAAGTAAGCTGGCAGTTCGACCCTAGTAAAAGATTTTACTTCCCTCAATATTAATTGAAAAGGACACAATCAGAAGAAAGGATAGAATGATGTTGCTTAGTGCTAAGTGATACTGTTATTTCATTTCCTCAGTTTCTGTTTATACCCTTGGAATCAGTCCTTGAACAACACAATATGACCAAGTGTTTAAAATGTAGACTCAGTGGCCAGACTGCCTGGGTCTGAATCAACTGTTCTACTTCAGTTTACTCAAAATGGGGTGATAACAGTACTTACCTTCGAGGGTTGTGAGGAGAATTAATTGATACATGTAAAGGACTTCAACAGTACCTGGGCAATAATGTTAGTTAAAGTAAGGAGATTTTGAGCTGTAAAGAGATTTTTTGCTTCAGGAGAGGCCAATTTACCTTTATTTCCCTTTTTCCCCTAATCTGAAAGTCTACCTTCTAAAGGTTTGCCTGGGCAACATGAGCCAGTAAGGCCCTCAGACCCGGACTTCACCATTAACAAGGAAACGCTTCTGAGCTTTTGTACCTGACTTACTTATTGTTGCATGCTGGCAGACATCCCCTGGCCTCCAGACAAAAGAAACTGGATTTCATTAAAATTCAATCTCTCCTGATACCATCTCTGCTGAATCCTAGAGGGGACGGCTACCAGTGGAGCTTTAGCAACCTGATTAAGAATAGATTTGGCCTGGAATGTTCTTAGTGCTCTAACGTGACTGTTTATGATGTTTCTCCCCATGTGCTCACTTCCATGTGTTCTGGGCTCCCTGTCCCTCCCCAGCCCCTCCTACCTACATAGGAGCACAGCCAAGGGGCTCGCTTCCTCCACCCGGACACTGAGATGCATCTTGCTTCCTATTTCAGGTGCGAGTTCTCTCCCATCGGCCCGTCCCGGCTCCCAGGCCCCCTGTATGAGTGACGCCTTGGTCTGCCATGGACCCTGGCCCTGCCCTGGCCTGGCTCCTGCTCCTGAGCCTGCTGGCCGACTGTCTGAAAGCTGCTCAATCCCGAGACTTCACAGTGAAAGACATTATCTACCTTCACCCTTCAAGTAAGCCTCTGTTCTCTTCGCTGCAGAAATGCCACTTTGAATAAGATGTGAGTTGAGAAACAGCCGGGAGAAGGCGGCCTTCAATGCAGGCCACGCCTGTGATTTAACTGGGGGGTGCAGACACTACCAAAGAGGCTGTGTGTTTTACCCTCACCTTTCTGTAAGGTGTTTATTTCTTACTTTAAGGCAAATTATTAGGCTTGTTTTCTCTGTTCCCTGCACATGGGCTCTGATTCTGAACTCCCTTTCTTTTGGCTCTTGCCAGCCCTCCGTTGGCTATCAAAGTGAAATGCCTGTCCCAGGGGGAAGGTGTTTGTAACAGATCAGTACTTTATAGGCAAGATAATAGCTGGTCTTCCTGTCTGTGCATCTAATGCTCAGTGTCAGCATAATTGTCTTTCACAACTTCCCTATTCCTTATCCCTTTAGTTTCCTGTGTTTAAGAATTATCCAGGGAGTGCATAATAATGTAGATACCCAGATCCCTTCCCTGGGGTGTCTGATGGCATAAATCTAGGATTGCACCCATGGATTTTGCTTTCAGCAAGAACTTCAGGTACTTCTGATGTGATGTTCTAAGGATCACACTTTGGGAAACAGCAGTTTTATGCCCTCTTGGATCTCCAGCTCTGTATTTATCTCATCTCTTTTATTTTTGTTCAAATCCTCTTCTGGATTGTCCCAGTGGTAGTGAGAGCTGGGTATATTTTGTGTGCTTTGACCTTTAGCATTTGCCCCAAGGCATATTACTCTTCTGAAATGTTCTGTTCAACAAACATTTTCTGATTGTCTACAGTGTGTCTAGCATTTTGATAGGCATGAAAGGTCTAAAGGGAAAAAGAGCTAAGTTTCTCCTTTTGAGGATCTTAACAGCCCAGCAAGTGGGGCAGCCACTCAGACTCCTTCAATGCCACAAGATTAGAATATTTAACATCTCCATGTTCTGGTTTAGAGCCGAGGTGGTCCAAAGAATGCAGAGGGCTTGGAGTTCCCCTGGCTTTAGGTGGATCAGCTCAGCTGCTTTGGAACCTTCTGACTTGAAATGAATTCCCAACTTTGTGAAGATGAAATAATGTATACAAAGCACTTGGCACTGAATACCAAGCCATAGTACATGCTCAAGAAATATGAGGGGAATTTTGAAGCGTTCATTTCCACATGTCTAAAATGGATAAAATAATATATACCCTGTAACATTATTTTGTGGACTAGAAATAATATCTGAGAAACAGGCACATACATAATGGCAATCATATGCTGTTGTGCATGATCTTGCTGCAGTTGGCTTAGATGGTAAAATGAGGGTGATCAAATACACCACTCCAATTTTTTATCTCTGAATAATCCTTTTGAGAGGCAGCAGATAGTTCCTTTTGACTTACTGCTATTTTATGCTCTCCCCAGTATAGGCCAGTGCCTAATGGTTAATTGTGTAGATTAACCTTGCTGCTTGATTTTGCAGGACTGTTTCCTTTAGTAACACTCATGCTTTAAACTTGCTTTGTTTTCTAGGATTGTGTTTTGTCATACTTGGGAACAAAAACCCAGATTTCAGTCTCTTAGGTTTGATTGCCAGGACTTTCAGCTTCCATGGGGCCTCCAAGTCCGTTTCAGAAGGGGATCTGGGAAGGATGAGCTCTGCCAGGCCAGAGGCCCATCACTCTTGCTCTCTAGAATATGGTGAGAAAGTTCTGTTCTGTGACCTGCATTAATTAAGTAGAGCCATGGTCTGATTAAAAAGAACTTACAATGGAGAAAGAATTGGTGGGGTTATCTGATATGATTTTGAAATGTGGAGGATAGAAGATGTTGTCCCTAAACCAAATTATACTTAGACAATTCACCAGCAGGTCTAGGCTGACTTCTCTTTTAGAATCTCCGGGACTGGTCGTGGGGAATAAAAATCCTTAAAGTTACTGCCACTGGTTCCTACTTGGCCAGAACTTTGTTTACTCTGCCCACTTTCAAGCAAAGTTAACTTCACCTTTCTCTGCACTATTTCAGAAGCCCTTGGTGTTCGCTTGTTATCGCACTGATTTTTTAACTGGTCGTGGTCCTCCGTCCCTGAGCAGCATCCGGCAGACCAGGTTTAGATGGAGTGATCTCTCTTCAAATAAGCAGGTTTCTGTAAAATGTAGACTATAAAAAATAGATGAGGGAAGTGTGGGATTATTTTGATTCTGAGTTATTAACACAGTCGCCTCACTTTGTAGATAGATGCACAGACAGCTTTCTTAGAGTCAGTGAGTGAGCCAGATTCCATTAATGTGAGAGCTCAGAACCCGCCCGAGGAGAAATGCGATGGTGCTGGAGACGTAGGAAGATGCACAGGTTTTCTATACCAGACAAACACGTTTCTCACGGGCCCTGAACAGCCCTGAGAGATAGTAAGTGGGGTGTGATAGAAGCCCTGGTTGGGGAAGTTCACATCCCGTGACTAATCTGCTTTGCTTTCTGGTTCCCTAATCTTTGAAGTTTCTAAACCTTTAAAGGAAAAAAAAACTTTATGGCTTTCAAAGTTGAGGCACTGTTCTCAGCGACATACTTTTCTATAATTTGTATTTTTTTTGTTTTTTTCATGTGAAAAATGATTGATTTCTTCCCACCCCATTATTAAAGTGCCAAAGGCTAATAAAAACCTTCAAAATAGGAGTTAATGGTAAGAGAAATGGAGTGACTCTTTTGGTTGTTAGACATCCTCTGAGATCACAGAATTTAACATCGTAACTGGCTCAGCCTGTTCTTGGCTTCCATTTCTTTCCTGGTAATAGAAACCTTTCCTGAAAAATTCAGTTGTTATCTGTATATTCTGAATCTTTCCTTAGTCATGTGGATCAAAGAGCTATATACCTGCAGGAGGCTTCTTTACGCCCAGACTGAGAGCAAGTGAAGTTTTTCATAATTCTGTACTACTTAAGTCTTAGGGAGTAAGGGAACTTTCTGGAAAGATAACAGGAAATGCATTTCTATCAGAAATACATTCATAGTATTGAAATGGTACTGACATTATGTTTGTTGTGAAATGGATAGAGAAGGAAGATTAGTTTAATCAATTTCTAGAAATTTTATATTTGCATCCAGTTTACAGAAACAATGGGAATTAATAATTTGGCAAGAGTAAAAAAAAAGGGATGCATTACATGTCAGCATGCTTTTTAAAACAGGATTTTCTTCTCACCATGGTTTTGATAACTGAAGGCCTTTGTCCAGGCAAGAGATCCAAGAGATGGAAACAAAGATGAAATCTTTTCCGATGCCTTACAAATGAATTATGGTGGGTTGAGCTATGGCTGACCATGAGGGTTAATGGACGGATTATGTTACAGGAAGTAACTGGGCACTTTAGCATTTCTTTTTTTCTTTACAATCACCTTCTCTTGAGGGACCAAGGACTTATGCTCTGAAATACAGAGTATTAAGCTTATTAACTCTGTGATCAAGAGCCAGATTAGATTCATTCACAACTGGGGCTACAATGATTTGAAACCCCACTTAAATGGATTTTCAAATACTTTGAAGTAACAAGGAAGAAAACAACAAATCTCTTAGGAAACTCTTTCCATCCTTTTTTTTTTTTTAAAAAAAACAACAACTTCTTTATCAGATGCAGTATCAGTTAGCAAGTTACTGAAGACAGTTGCTCATCTATAGTTCTTATTTTTAGTTCAATATTTGCAGAAGGAAGAATTTAACTATTTGCTTGTGAAAAATGATTGTGCTATAATCAGCCACTTAGAGCTAAGTCTGTCTGAGAGATTGGTCACTGAAAAGGGCTTGATTAGTCCCTGATCAGTACTACCTAACAAGATGCAAATGCATATTCCTATAAGCAAATATTACTGTGGCATTGTTGAGAAGGCACACAGTTATGATGTTGTAGCTTTAAAACTAAAACACTCCAAAAATGAGATTATTTGGTTAATTGCTGATGGTACTAATGATAAGACATTGACATAAATGATTTGAAACAAAGCTTTATTTTGCTACCAAAGTGTTTTAGCCCCATATCCTGTATAAATTCTGTATCCTCTGGGTTAATTTCAGAGTATAGGCCTACTTATGTAAGAAGTGACAGTGTTTAACTTAACATGTCACTATTCTTACAAAAGATAATTTTGAAGAGTCTATAAAATAATCCCAATTTGGTAACACTATAACTTGTTAGTGACAGATTCTCAATAAGTTTATTCTTGGAGTGGTTGGATCATCAATCTTATTCAAAATTCTTAATTAATCTCTTTGATGGGAAAGCTTCCAGGAAATATGAATCCAACATTCCAGCTAAAAGTTTCAACTGGCTGCAGTGACAGACAGGTAAAATTGGGTGCTCTAGTGAATGAATCATGCAAACTGAAGTAGTCTGACTAGCTTGCCAGTCATAAACCTTGGTGAATATGATCATTTTTTGAGAAATCCTGTTCTTTAACAAATCATTTACATCATTCTTTCAAAACTCCTGCTTTGATAGTTCTTCAGATTTTACAAGCTGTTTTAACTTCTGTCCTTTCAACTTATTTATATATTAGATATTTAAAAACTGATAGTGAAGTTATTTTTTCTGTGTCTCCAATCAGGAGTATTTTGTATGTTTTTTCTCATAAAATAAAAGATTAAAAAAAATAAGGCATTTTGAAAAATAAGCTAATTAAAAAGTCCATAAGAATATTGAATGGCTTGGGAATTTGAGAACCTATTTGTTTTAAGTTCTCCAGGCATGTACTTACCTAAATAGAATCTTTCAACTCAAATGTCATCCACCTAGTTAGGAGTTGAGATGTGGAGATATAAAAATTATTCGTATGTAGTGTTAAAAATAGTGTATTTCTGTTTCATTAGGATTATATGATAGAGCATGGTTCCTCAGACTGAAATTTCTTCACTGGGGAAGAAGTGGTTGGCTTGCTATGTCTAACCTGTTTTCCATCCCCCATGTTCTAAGACAATCCATGCCCTCACTAGCATTGGGTTGAAATTTGAGTCACCAACTACTTGGAGGAACTTGGAACTCTCAAACTGTCCCATAAAAAGGTCCAGTTACCTGTGTTCTTTAGACACTTTATGACGTTTGGTCATCGCAGGTGGTTGTGCATCGTCAGAGTCAGCTCTGAAATATTGCAAGCGGGCGCAAGGAGGGGCAGCTGTTCTAAGCAAGGTGAAAATCAAAGTTATATCTGGCCTATAATTCTGGCCTTAAGTTGCTGCCTCCTCCTTCATTTATTTTTGATAACATCCTTAATTGGTTCCATGTGGGCAAAGCCATTTACCCTGAGATGATTATTTCCACCAGTGGGATATGTAAGCTCAGCCATCTGTGAGGGAGAACAGTTGGCTCCCGCAGATGAAGTGTTTGAGTGTTTGCAGCTTTCAGAGAGGCCAGGTAATTTTACAAATGAAAAAAAAAAACCACACACAAGTTTTGTTTATGAAACTTGCTAATAAGCAGCGAGTAAAAGCATATCAGTGAAAAGGATGGAGACAACCCAACTTGACATTCCTTGTGGATCCTTGTCCTTAAATGCCACAAGGCCCTGGGTGTGCTGGGCACTCTCTAGAGCATGACCTCCACCACACACCTGCTTGCCTGAGAATAAATGCAAGGCAAGGTGACGAGTACCTAGGGGACAGTCCCTTCGGCAGGCAGGAAGGGGAGGGTAGGAAGGGCTTCCTGGAATAACACATCCCGTGGGCCCGCACCAGAACCCTTCGTGCAGCCACATCCATGTGGGCCTGAAAGACCCCACAGGACAGTTACCTCTGCAGTGGCAGCGCATGTTTTAGCAATGAACACTCTCTTCTTAGCAGATACTTAGTATCCCCAGGAATTTTTAACCATGGTCTGACCAGATAAAAGTGTCAGATTGAACTAGAGAAACTGCCCCTTTTATAGGTCAAAAATGGCCAGGTACCAGGAAATATTTAATGATTCAACATAATATTTATATTTACATGTTGATATGTCTATGTAAGTTGACATATAAGAATAATCATTAGAAACCCAGAATGCCTTTCTTTAATTGAAATTTTTATTGAGATAAGTGTATATTCATAAGCAGATATAAGAAATAATCTAGAGATATCTCATGCTTACTTTACCCAGTTTCCTGCAAAGGCAACATTTTGAGAAACTATGGAATATTATCACAGCTAGGTTATTGCTCTGATGTGATCAGTTCTCACAGGTCTTATTCAGACTTTTGCAATTTTACTTGTGATCATTTGTGTGTATGTGTGTGTGTGTGTGTGTGTGTGTGTGTATGCATGCATACTTAGTTCTACAGTTTCATCCCATGTGTATGTTTGTGTATATACCACCCAATCAAGACACTAGACAGTTTCAACAGCACAAGGATTCTTCCTGTTGGCCTTCCTTGCACACAGCCATTCCCATCCCAGACCCCCAGCAATCACTAATCTTGCCTCCATTTCTAAAATTTTGTCATTTTAAAATTGTTATATAAATGAAATCTTACAGTATATAACTTTTTAGGATTGACTTTTCTTACTCAGCATAATTTCCTGAAAAATTCATCAAGTTGTTGAATGAATTGATTGTTTCATTATTTTATTTTATTGCTGACTAATATTGCATAGTATGGACATACCACAGTTTGTTTAACCATTCATAGATATTTCCAGGACTTCATAGGACTTCATAGATATTTCCAGGTTTTGTGTTTATAGGTAAGGTTGTTGTGAACATTTACATACAGATTTTTGTGTGAATATTAGTTTTCGTGTCTCAGGGACAAACAGATGCCCATAAGTGCAATTACTAAGTCATATGGTAGTTGCATGTTTAGTTTGTTAAGAAACTATATTGAGAATCCTCATTTTTAAAAAAAGGTCTAATGTCACAATGCAGGTTTCTGTGCTCAGTCTAAATAATTCATCTTTTCCCATGATTCTCTTTGTAGCTACTCCCTATCCTGGTGGATTTAAGTGTTTCACCTGTGAAAAGGCAGCAGACAATTATGAGTGCAACCGATGGGCTCCAGACATCTACTGTCCTCGAGGTAAACTCTCAGTAGACAGGTTGGGGTCCCCAGAGCTGTCCAGGAGTGGACAGCCCTGTTGACTTTGATGCATGTACAGAAAGAGGAATGCTTACAATCTCAGCTGCTCTCTTGTCTAAGGCTATTAGATCTTTTATTATCAACTTATCATCAAAGACTCTTAGAGATATAAACTGATCATAGGATTGCCCCTTTCTCATAAAACATATGTTGGCACTTCAGAAGAGGTAAGTGATACTTCCCACCCTCAGGCCCAGTCAGCTGCAGGATGAGAAGGGAGCAACGAGCCTGTTGTCCACTCTTGGAAGCATTAGTCATTGCATAGTAACTTCCTTTATATAATGTATGAATCGATGTTCATATAAAGATTCCATTTATTACATATCTTGCCAGAGGCTTCTATCCTGAGACTGCATGAAAGCCAGAATTCTAAATGTCATCACTGCACAAATAAAAACCCTGAGCTTTTTGAACTATTAAGTTCTCTTTGAAGGATGAGTTGGATGCCCATTCGAAGCATGACATTTTGGCCCAAAGACCCATTTCAAAGGGAAGTAGATGCTTCATATTCAGATTCACATCTCTTTTATCCTATCTAGTAAAAAAGATGGTTATATTTGGCTACAGAGTCACTGTTAATTGGCTGTATTAATTTTGGAGCAAAGTCAGTTCTTTTGATGGGGAGATGATGAGGTTTGGGCATTTCATTGACAAGTGTCTGAGTGAGTAGTTAGATGGGCTTTGCTGCTGATCTAATTCTCTTGTTAAAATGATTGAACACACCAGCACCACATCTGTTGTGGTATGAGGCAAGAGCTCTCATATTCACCAGGGGAAAGGCACTCTCGCAGAGGATTGTGCATTGGGAGAGCATGGAAACAGCAACTGAGAGAAACGTGCCGGCTGCCTAAGCCAGTGCTGTTTATCCCATGAATCTGTCTGGGTTGCCCAGTAGAAACACCTGTGTGTCTTTTCAAAGTGACTGGAACCTGTGTCCTGCCTGGACCAATGTTCTCAAACTTTAGCAGTCTCCTCATTCCCTAATGGGCTTATTAAAACAGATTTCTGCCCCTACCCCTGCCCCTCTCCTTTGGTTTCTGATTCAGAAAGTCTGGGACAGGGCCTGAGAATTTGCATTTCTAAAGAGTTCCTGTGTGATGCACATGCTGCTGCTCTGGGGACCACGTGGTAAGAACAACAGCTGTGCACAAATGGAGCCAGTAGGTCTGAGATGAAGGCCGTGTTGTTGTGCTTAAATACCCCAGGTGATTCTTAAGAATAGTTAGGGGCAAGAGCCTCTGGGAGCTCCTCTTCCCACTAGTAGAAAGTGATAGCCAGTATTGTCATTTCTAGATTCCATTTGTTTACTTTTAGGTAGAGGTGCTAATGGGGTGCCAGAAGACCACAGGGAAAAGAAAAACATAGAGATGCTAAGGATTGGCTTAATCACAAGCTAGACATCCAGCCGTCTGGGTAGTGAAAGACAAGTCCTGTCCACATTGCCTTCTGCACCCATGTGCTCATTTCAGAATGAGCTGCTATTATTCTGACTTGACCACCACAGAATAAACACTTGGGTAGGTTCCTGAGGGATCTGGTTTAACCACTGCTTCTCCAACGGGGCAGCACGTTGAAATCAGTGGGTACAATTTTAAAACCCTGCTGCCTGGGTTGATTCCCAGAGATTCATAGGTAAGTGCTTGGGGGTATGGCTGAGAGAAGGATTTCTTTAAAAGCTCCCTAGATGGTTCTAATATGCAGCAAAATGTGAGAACCACTGTAAAGAGTCATTCTGGATAAAAACAGGATGATTTGCCTGTGTAGCCAATAAACTTTGGACTGGTTCCTGCTGGGACAAAACTGGCAGATTAGCTTTGAAACTCTTGCCGCTGGCCAGAGCTGAGGTTCAGGAAATGTGGCAGTGGTTCTCTGAGTATTATCCAGCAGAGATGCACAGAGGAGGAGGGCTGGGCACTGGTGCTCTCCCAGGCTACGGGCTCTAGTTCACAGGGGCCCAGTCCAAAGCTGGTGGTGTACAAGTGTACCCTGTCATGGAGACAAAAAGGTGACCAGTAGCATTCTGCTTGAATCCTCAGGAAAATGGGAAGATTCATCTCAGTGCTTTCTTTTGAGGTCAAATCTATCTTTCCAAAGTATAGTTATCTGAAATTATCACAAGTGTTTCCACNCCCCCCCCCCGCTACTTTATTGTTTTGGTCTTCAATTTTATAGGGTTAAATGCAAAGTGATGCCCTGAGGTTCACGGGCAGAGAACAACTGTGCCAGGCCCTGTGGGGGTTCGTGCCATAAAAGATAGCAATCTGGTGTCTTCTTTCAAGGAGCGTTTAGGTTTAGCTGGGGAGATAAAATCTGAACATATCAAATGTCAGAAATAGCAGGACTGAGGCAAGCACCAAATGAAATGCGGCGTTAAATGCTATGGAAGCTGAAGGGGAGAATTGCTATGGGGGCTGAGGTGGCCAGTGGCAGCATTGTGGGCTGGGGGGGTAACAGCCCTGCAGGTGGGCAGTGGAAGCGGAACGCTGAAGGAGCACATCTTTCAGAAAGTCACCCAGGGCCGGGGCCGAGGTGAGGGAGACAGGAGTCCCACGTGGACTCAGCGGCAGGGAGAGTGATGGTGTCATGTAGGAGGGCAGTAGGAGAAGAGTGGAGCCTGGGTCCTTTGGGGACCTTGAGCTTCAGGCAAGGAGTGGGGAGTAAAGCTGTACATAAGCTGAGAAGAGATGAAGCCATGCAGCGTCCTTGACCAGCCTCATTTCCCACGAGCCATCTATCCTCTCCTCTGGGCTTTCTCCAGATTTTTCTGTCCTGGAAATGATGTCAGTATCATTAGAGTAAAAGAGAAAATGTGTCTACGGAAAACTACAGACTAACCCTAGGTTTGCTTTTTCTGTTTATGACTAGTTGGAAGTAGCCGTTGGACTCCCAACAGGCTTAGTGAGGGCAGTTCAGGAGCTGCTGTGGTAAGACAGCCGGACTTTCTGCGACATCCCTGGTTTTTGGTTTGTTTATTTTGTGACGTGTTTAGTCAGGTTTCAATTATCACCTGATGTGAAAATAACTTGTTGAAATGGAAAAAAACTCTTTCACGTAAATATATAATCATATCTCTCTGAAATAAGCCCACATCCCGTACTGCTTTGGGGATTGCCTGATTTTCCAGAGTTTTTGAAAGCTACACTCAGTCATGTGGATGTATAGAGACATATTGTATTTTAGCAGCTCAGACAAGCTTGCTTATAGATTCAACAGCCTTACTGTGAGTCATTATTTGGTCAAATAAGCATCAAGGAAGCTTTGCCCTAACTGGAATCATTCTGATGGGCAGTGGTGGCATCAGCCAGCCACCTCTAGTTGACTGAGGTTTCCTGTCACTCTTTGGAAATGTGTGTTACATCAGTACTTCCTCCTCCATTACTTTGTTATCACCTCTGGTGCTCACAGATTCCAGTACCATACTCCCTCCGTAGACCTGAGAATTTCAGGCACCCTCCATAACTATCTCTCATTGCTTCACTTGCTCGACTTCTGTTTAGCCTTTGGTCTGTGAGCGCTTCCTTTGCAATAGCTGAATGGACAAGGCTCTTGAAATCATATTATAGGAGGAACCAGTTCGAGGACCTGGTGAAGGAAAACAAGAAGTGAATGTCATTTACTGAGATCCATGTGGTGATGCCGGTGACGTTTCTTGGTAATGCCAGATTACAATCTCCTTGACAGTGGGGCCGTATAAGTGTTTAAAACAAACATCCTGTGGAATTAGATGGCAAGGCACAGACATTACAGTTTTGAAACAGGCTTTTGGTATGGAGGGTACCTAAGCCGCCAAGCATTTTGTTTCTCCTTAATAATGAAGTGCAGTTGCCTCCCTCTGAGGCAAAAATCTTCATGTGAAAGGATTGTTGGTATAAATGAGATCAAGAGAAATCTTGCGATAGAGGGACACATACCCTTTCGGCTCCAGCTCCTGTACTGCTCACTGCTTCTCCGCGGAAGGCAAGAAGAAGCGGGGCGTGTCCTTGGAGGACTCTGTGTCTGTTATCTGCTACCAGCAGGAAGTGTAAGTGTGATTCCCAGATCAACGGAAGACAAGCTTCATGGTTACAGATTTTCAGGAAAGACTTCTTTCTTGTTGACTTTTCTCCGGCAGAGTGCAGGTTGACACCAACAGCCTTTTTGTTTTACTTTACCTAAGGGTGGATTTTTTTCTCTTTTAGGCAATCTTACACTTAGGATCTAGCCCTTCAAGATTTCTGCCATTCTACAGAGGCCACTGTTCTAGCCCTAAACCCCATAAGGACCCCAGGTCTTGCATCTCTTTTTATAGTTTATCTACTAACCTCCCTTCCCCCAAGGTAGAGAAATTAGGATCTTACCCAGTATTGGCCCTTGGTATTTACCTTACTTTCTGGAGAGTTCATTTGTACATTTGCAGAAGGTACTAGTTTACATTACCCAACACTTCTGGCTGCTGCATAATGAAGTGGTGTTCAGGTGACCTATCTTGTCCTATTGCTAAATGGAAGTCTTAGACTTCCTCCTTTTTTAAAAAGTGAAAGGTGAAATTACAACATATGTTCTAGAAATTGAATATCCTAAGTGTACAGCTCATTGGATTTTCACAGTGAACATGTTAAGCAGTAGAACCCTCGAAGGGTCCCCAGTCATTACACCCCACCTCCAAAGTCCAGAACTGTGGCTCCTGTCATTGAACTTTATTTAAACAGAATCATACAGAATACACTGTTTTCTTCCCCACATGCTATATGTGAAACTCATCCATGGTTTTTGAGCAACAAAGTCATTCTCACAGATCATTATAGGAACATACTAAAATTCCTCCATTCCATTCTTGATGGACATTTGGAGGGTTTTCAGTTTTTGAACACTGGGTGCATTCTTTTGCACACATCTTTGGTACATGTGTACGTGTGTTTCTGCTAGGTCTTCCCCAGGAAGTGGGGCTGCAGGGCCCACAG